ACGGAATTTCGTATTTTAGTAATATACGGACTTATTATAAAAATTCCGTATATTAGTAAAATACGGACTTCGTACATCAAAGTTCCCGTATATTACGAGTGTACGGAGTTCGTATATTAGTCATATACGGACTGATATAATATACGGTCCCGTACATCTCCGTATTTCAAGTTTCCCGTATTCTTACACGTATATTAATGATATACGGAATTCCGTACACTTCCGTATATGCATGTCTTTTTCGCAGTGAATTAAATTCACAAGCAGATAAATAAAAAACTCTGTCTGTATCGATGAAACAATTTATTAATAGTAGTTAAAACAAAACATTCTTTCTGACTTATCTCATTGTTTAAATAAATAGCAATGCACAAAAAATAAATATACATCCATTCTTTCAAGCTAATGTAATGACGATTCAATACAGATATGGTTTTTTGAATGATTTTACATCATACAATTAATAAATAATAATAATTTTTAAACATCTAAATATCACAGTTCCCCACGGTTTCCATCTTTCAGTCATTCGTAATTTTTATATTCTGCGTAAAATTTCTGACAAAATTACAGAGGTAAGCACAGATTTTGTTACAACATCTTGGTGGTTATTGAATGGCTTATAAGCTGTATGCCCGGCATGAACTGGGTATGCTCCAAACCTGGAAACTGGCATAAGTGCTGGATACATTATTTTAGGAGCCGGTGCATAGTACGAAGTGGCTGTCATGGGTGCGGGAAAAAACGGATGCACCGGTTTAATGTAGTTCGGTACTGGAACGGTGTTCGGATAAACATACGAGTTGTACGTCTGTCTGTTTATCAGTTGAGGAGACATCAAGCTTGGGAAAAATCCGAGACCTGAAATTGTAAGAATAAATTGTAACTGTGTCGGCATCATTAACAATTTTAAAGTTCAGTTCTCTTGAGTGATGCACAACATAAGTTGTAATATTGCAGGCTTGATTAAATTGATGAGCTTTAAAGAAAAGGTTAACATATCTAACGCCCTTTCAGCACTGGCTAACTTTTCAAGAACGATTGGTAAAGAAGCGAACTCAAAGCATTTGTCGCCTCTGCTTTTCGGAGTATGGAAATCATAACAATTCTATAATCAGTATGATAAAATATACAATAATATTGAGAAATGCTTGCAATAAATATGTGTTATCCATGAAGTGCACACTTATAAGTATTTTCTTAACATTAATGCTCATCAAATAAAATGTATCAAGCAGCGTTTTTATTCATTCATACTTTGCAAGTATTAAAAATTGCGTATTCTGACTATTGTGTTACATCTATTGCATTGAAAAAAGTCAACACTAGTACATTTTATTTCGATAAAATATCACAGAAAAATCAGTTAAAATCAAGAAAATTTGGTAGGAAAATGTTTCAATCATGCTGTACATGTATTTTTGAATAATTGATCTATATATCATTTTTCTCTATAAAGATCTACTTTTACTATTTTTCATTTCATATTTTCAAAAGCTGCTTGTTTAATTTGACAATTTTCATTGGAGTTATTTAAAATCGTTTGATGTATTATTATTATTATCATTATTATTATTATTATTATTATTATTATTATTATTATTATTATTATTATTATTATTATTTATAATTATTAATATGTTTATTATTATTATTATTTTATGGGAATCGTGAAAAACACTGACATTTAATTCATGCAAATTAATACTGTACTTTATTCCAGCTAATGAAATATGATTTATTTAATTTACTATTCATCTTTGCTATCCAGATTAAATTTTATTTAGTTACGAAGCCGTTAGTTCCTATGAGTTATTGAAATATCTCTTTCCGTAAAAATAAATGTGATTTATTCTTATGATTAAAATAGGTATCAATTAAATTACATTTGCCCGAACAAAAACAAATTAAAGCCGTATTATTTGAAGATTAAAATAGACATTCAATTTTATATGAATTAAAATAGTATTTAATTATTAATTATAATTAAATATACATACCATTATTTTTGCTATTATATGCCTGAGCTGTGCAAATGTACGTGGTTAAGAGAATTGCAAAGTAAGCAAATCTTGTAAAATCCATGATTTGTTTTATGTGAATATTTGAAGACGAATACACAAGAGACTAGAAACCTTTTTGTTATGATAGCATGAATTTCTGAGTTTGGTATTTATATTAAAAATGATAGGGAGTGCTCGAATATTGAAAAAGAATATACTTCCTGTCCTAAATCATAGTCAGTCGTGCCCTTTCCGTGTGATTCAATTTATTAGCCAATCAAAACCGTCCCAAAAAACTGGTCATCAGTAGCCATTTACCTTGTCATTATTATTTTTAATTGAGTCATCTAAATCTGTCGTTTGACATTTGATTTTACGTGACTGTTACAGAAAATGTGAACACTTTGTGTAATAGCCATTGGCAAATGTGTTACTGACCGGAAATGTCATTGGCCGGCCAACACAGTTGCTGTTTAGACTAGTTTATGTTAAGATATCTTTGTTGACTTTAAACCTGCAATGTATAGAAGTACCTGTATTCAGCGATTAATTCAATTTCAGATACGCAATTTCTAGAATTTTTGAAATAGCAAAAAATGGAATTCTAATCGGGTAACCTTTTCTTTTTCAACCCAAAAAAACCTTTCGAAAAGATGACATTTATTACGGATATGGGTGAAAATCACTGCCATTTAGTACAGTTATCTGTGAAATTCAACAAAATTTTTAACAAATATAATGGTATAATTCAATTTATAACAGACATTGTTAAATTTTATGTTAATAAATTTGTGAAATTCACGGCTTGTTATAAAAAAATTCGTGAAATTCATTTTCATTTACGACAGACATTGGTGAAATTTAAAGCCATTCATTACAGGTATAGGTGAAATTCAAGCCATTCATTACAAATATTGGTGAAATTCAATGCCATTCATTACAGGTATTGGTGAAATTCAATGCACATTATTACATATTTTGGTGAATTTTAATGTCATTTAATTTACTACAGATATTCGTGCAATTCAATGCCGTAAATTACAGTTTATTTTGATTAATGCCATTTACTACAGGTATTGGTGAAATCCAATGCCATTTATCACGGAAATTGTCGAAAGTCAGTCAATTTCAGTTCACAATGAATGAGAAATAAAACCACAAGAAATATACCTACTTAATCTACTTACGTATTAAAACGGCTTACAAATCAATTAATTATATTATTATATTCCAAAAAAACGTTCATTATTTCTCTGGTATTTGCGGACATTTGATCATACTATATTTATAAGGACAGATTTCCGCGATGCCAATTACCTTCTTTTACGTTACAATTTGTATTCTCGTTAGTAGAATAACATAAAGCTGAGTGCTAATGTACTCATTTCATCTTATTATTATAATTATGAACTTATTGTCATGCTATAAAGGGTTGCCATATCTAACGCTTGATATACTTAATATCTTTTATAGACAATATAGACAAAACCATTCATCATTTTTGTGGGGAAAATTTTAATTTTATGTACTGACTTACAAGAGACCAGTGCAGGCCATGGACAAAACTTGCAACCTTGGTATGTACTGGTCCCATGGATATAATCATATGATACAAGCTGCACAAGGATTAAGAAAAATCTTGAAACAACGTTAAACTAAAGCGCAATAAAACCATAATATAATGTGATTTTCTCACAGAAAAAATAAGTTCTTACTGTTTCTTTTTTGTTTAAAGTGTGGTTTTATGTTTATGGTCAAACAGTAAAATCAAAGTAGAAACATTTATTCACTAGCTTACTAAAATAATTTTTATACATACAAGTTATTAAATATGCCATGTCACTGCATTGTATAAAGTGTATAAAAATGTATAAAAGCAACAATGCAACTTGTACCTACTTTGCTATGAAGCCATTGTGATAATTTTTGTTGCAGTTTCAACATTTTGGTATTGTCTCTGAGACTGATTTCTCCTTGAATTCTGCTAATAATTGCAACCAACCGAGTTGTGTTTATTGCACCCATGATATTTTGTTTTGTTTTTTTAATGTTCATGCTCATAAACCATCTTAGCTAGAAATATTGTCGTTTATGGTCGTTATGGTCTCTTGGTTAACTCTGAACACATATATTTTATACATGCGCGGTAAAAGTTGTTTTAAATTTGGAATTTTTGTTTGACATTTTCACAATCATATTGCATTTTGTAATAAATGCCAATTAGACAGTCTTCAAAGGACGAGAAGGGTATGATTAATGCAGTGGCAACACAATTGTCAACAAAAACAATGAATATTAAATTTGCAAAATCTATCTGATGTCTGGTAAAATTAAAGAAGATATGGCAATTGGCAAATGGAAATTAATATGTTTGTATTCCGTTCAACAAGATAAATTCCTAAAGTTTATGTATCTTATTAGTCTTTGCATATTTGGGTTTGCTTTTATTTTTTTTTTATTTTTTTTTTTTTGTTTTTTTTTTTTTTCAAAATTCCTTGAAAAGTTTTCTGAGAAACAAAAAACACACACAACAGTTAACTATTTCTCATAATTAAAGATAGTATAGCATTTCTTAAGGTAACATATACAGTTGTATATAAATAACTTGATAACTAAAGAATATTACGCTTTTTATGTTACTAGAGTATGATTCCATGTTGTGGCAAATAGAGATAATGTTTTAAAAGACAAAATTTTAACTATGGATACACTTTCAAATCTTTACAATGTTTATCATTATGTACGTTTTTTTTCATTCCCTCACACGATAAGTTTAGAAATTCAAATCTTTATAATAGTCATATAAGAGGTATGGTTAAAAGATACCCGGAATGTGTTCATAAGTCTTTAATAAGTTCATAATCCCGGAAGGTGCTCATAAGTCCGGAGTGTGTTCATTAGTCTGAAATTGTTTTATGCTTGAAATAAAAAATCAATGTACAACCAATTTAACCGCATATTAAATATTACTTGTCTACGGTCCCCGGACATGAACACTAGTCACTAGTTTGATTTTAAAACACAGTGTTGGTCATTTATCTCCACAGATAATTACACATAGAAATAATTTGTTGAGCCGAAGTAGGTTAGTGGTCACATAAACGTTCTGTATCATGTTGCACTTATCAAGTAGGAAGCACTGATACGGGTTGTAAGTACCGAACCCGAAGGTCTCAAGTCGTTACTGAGTACTTTAGGATTTCAGTACACCTTAAATTGAGTTGTAGTATTTACATTACTATAAGATGTAAGATATGCATGTGCTGATCATTGTTAATTTAATTGTTATATTTTTTTGTGTTTTTTATAAGAAAATATATATGCAAGGTCAATTAAGTGTTTTAACGCTGAGGTTTTATAATATTATCTAATCTATAGTATATTTCCGGGAATATCGTTTACACTTTAAGAAAAACAATTTTAATGTTATTGAATGAGTGAAATGCAAAAGTTTGGGCAAATCAATGTTGGTATAAACATCGAATTTAATTTTAATATAAAGGTAACATCTTTTGATGATGAAGTTCCTCTTAACCTTTTTTTGTATTGTTTCTAATGCATTATTGAAGAAGTAAAGTTGGACTTCCTATATTTAAAAGAAGACACTGATATGTAAAGTAAACCATTCCCTTAAATAAATTTCTTTCTATTTAAATATTTAATATTTTACCCTCTTGATATGACATGTATATGATTGGTCATTTCTTAAATTGAGACATCAAAAGACGGACTGGGAGCGAAACTTTGACACACACAAATGTAAACGTCAGGTAAAGGTGATATTTTATTTTGAAATTTAATTTTGAGGTCATTTGCCAATGGCACTGTCGGCTATGTTTACTCATGCGACTCATATTCATAAATCTATAAATATACTTAGCCACTTCATTTGTATATTAAAATGTATATTTGTTATAAAAAGGTCAATAAAGAAAATAAGTGCTCTGGTACGTCACATTTTAAATATAGAATGCTGTCAGAATTGTTGTACAAACATACTTAATGATAAATAAGAAAAGTTTCATGTCTTATTATGTTTCATATTGAGTACAAATATATTATTAATAACAATAATATAAATATAATAACATATATTACATTTTCATATTGTGAAAAAAATATAACATTATGTCTTTTTATGTTTCTGTTATTTTCTATTATGTATTTAAAAAGTAATCACCCCGTCCGTGCCTTGTGCCTTGTCCTGTTTGTGTTTGGTGTCCAGCTGGGCTCCGATGTTATTGGGTCGTGTAGGGTTAGCGTCCATTGAACCTCGCCCTTCCTTGTTGACCTTGTTTTTGTATTTTAAAAAACTTGGAATGGAAAGATCCTTCGAGAGCAATGGGAATTGAGTAAATAGTTCAGAACTGCAGATCGGTAAGGTAGAGATAATGTATTTAATAACATCTTTACACCCCCCCCCTGGCAACATCTAAAACGTGATTCAATTCTTAACACTCAAGTATAGTAATCAATGACATTGAAGGACCAGAAAAATATAACACCGAGATGAACGATTGTATTGAGTGACATCATTTTAGTAATAATTTCATTTCTCGTAAAGAAAACTTGTTATAAGCCTAACCTAAATGTGACTTCTTTTTTATTTTTCTCGAACCGTCAAACTTTTTTAAGTAATGCTATTTGTGTTCAATATTATTAAAGATATTTTTGTTCAATATTATTAAATGTCCATTATGACTAAAAAATGCTATCATTTTTATTCCTCAAAAACTTGTTCTGCACTTTTTGCGCTACTTTTACAGTCATTAAACATAAAATATGCTCTTAATCCATTATTAAACACATGTTTGACATTTCTAAAGAATTAAAAAATTAAGGATTTCTGAAACATAAAGTGCCTTTAAAAATAAACTTTTAATCAACTAAAATATGATAAACAAGATCAACAAGGAAAGGCGGCGTTCAATGAACACGCAACCCCCACACGACCCAGCAACAAGAACCAGTGAAGCCCGGGTACAGCTGGTGTTTGCGAACACATTTCTAGACATTTGTATATATCATAGTGTTCTATGTTGAGAATATTAAAACTAATCAGATTCAACAGTAAACTTCGGTCTTTTTGTTGTAAAAAATGATATAAGTTACATGTGCTGAAATGAAGAATTATAAATCGATGATAAATAACGGTTATTAATATTTCCTATGAAGACAATTTAATCCGCATTAAAACACTTTTCCCATTTAACTGCAATGGAAATTTTTCGGATTTATGCATGTTTACCGCCGAGAAGTTCAAATTGAATGTTAAAGTAAACATGCACAGCTGCTCACCGGCAAGTAAAAATGTTTGAATCTTAAGAAAAATTTTTTTTAATTACTGACCAAAATATTAATAAGTTTGACAAAATTAACAAAGACACGCGTATTATGTATATTTTTTAATTATATTTCGCAAATCTTTTTATTATTAGTGCCCTAGCAGCTATCTATGTAAGAAATTCATGTTTTCGTAATTTAGAAAAAATAATTTTAAGTTTTTAGGCTTTTGGACGTCAGATGAATCCTTTTAATGTTTTCATTTTAAATCATGATACAAAATGTCATTACAAAACAAAAGAAAACAACAATTAATAATTTAACTTTATTCTTAAAGCATAACCATAACATATTCATGTTGGCGTATATGAAATCCTTAATACAAAATGATCAACAAAATAAGCAAAATGAAGCAATAAATAGTGAGAAAACGAGGCCGGTTTTTAAGCCGATCATATCTTCCTTAAGATCTGTGACAATAAAACGGAGTATAAAACTGACTTTGTCACAACGTCTTTGTGATTATAAACATTTTTGTGAAAAGAATGTCCCGTATGTGGCGGAAGTGTTCCAAATAAAGGAACCCCATGTGGCATAAGTGCTGGATACATTATTCTATTAACAGGAGCGATGCTAGAATAAGCTGGCACCCTTAGTGGCTGAACCGGGTTGATGTAGCTGGAAACTGGAACGGTGTTCGGATAAACATACGGGCTAAATGACTGTTTGCTGACAGAAGGTGATGGAAGGAAATTTGGGAAATATCCAAGACCTGAAATCATGAAAATATAAATACATTTCATCTTGTTATTAAACAAAAATATTTCTAATAGTGTGTCGCTTAAATCATATAAATGTAGTAAAATGGACATAACGATGAAAATTCGATTATTTACAATATAAAAATATAATTGTGTTGTGATATGTTTCAAACATATCAACCTTGTTGAACACCTTATCAAAGAAATAACATGATAATTTAAAATACTTTTTGTTTATTTTCAAAATTCAAATTAAGAACAAAGTCCATAAAACCAGTATATGCTAACCAATGAATTGAAAATAACATAAAAGTACATGTACTTACCATTATTGTTGCTATTGTAACCATTGACAACTGAAATACAAAGAACCAGTACAACTGATGCGCACGCCCTTTTCAACAGTCCCATAGTAGCTTTACACCTTTAATTTAACTGACAAATTAGCAAATAGAATATGAATATAAATGCCATCGAAAGGATTTTGTTTGCTTTTATATTTCATTATTTTAAGGGATGGAGTAAGGTTATATCATTTTTCTTCCTCCCTGTCTTTATAATAGAAAAGTAATTTGTCACTTAAGCTCTTCCTTACATAAAGATATGAGCCAATCAGAACTGTTCACCTTCTTGTTACAGATGAAAAATTGACCAGTCATATGTTAATTGTCATAACCTAAAGGGACTGGTTATTATATCTTAGATTTCATTTTAATGACGTACGAGTATGTAAAGGCGGGACTTAAAAGTTAACGTGAACCACCAAGGGCAATGTTTTAAGTATAATATGTAATAGTTCGTAAGTGATCTGACTTTATCAAATGTAGTAAACTTTGCATAACACATTGTTGACTAAATATGACATTGATTATTGTATTAAAAAAGACGGAATTAAAACTTAAATGAAAATACAGCTAGATCGCTTTCCAGTTTTATATTTGTAAATATTTTTGTAAACAGTTTGCGAACCACATTTATTTAAGGGAAGTACATTACCAGTAACACGAAAATTGATTGTCCAGGTCAGTATGTACGGTTAGAAAAAAAGTATTAGAAGTTTAGAAAATATGTTTTAAAAGTATTTTATTGGCTAAATTAGTTCAATTTTCTATATACCTGACATTGACTATCTTTGACTGCAAAAAAAAACACGTTTAGATAGGTTCTAAATATTCATTGAAGATTGCCTGGTCACAAAGTGCTCATTACCATAAGCAAAAGTTATTATCGTTCGACGTTAGTGTTAGTCATTAAAATGTTTTAAATGACATCTTCTATGTAACCATTTGGCTAGAATGAAAGAAAATTTTCTTACTAAGAAAATGAATCCGAACACCAATATCTTTAATTCAGTCGTTAACGCTGTACAGACGTTTAAAGTGTTGTTTACTTGACGTCACAATGTAGCGCCAAACAGCACGTGCAAAACAATCAAATCAAGTACGCTATTTTAATGTCGCAAACGAGTTAAGTTTTACATTTATTTCACTTTTTAAAATTTGCATTTCGCTTGAAAAATTATAGAGTGAAATAAAATAAACGAACAAAGTTTTACCAACGTTTTCAAAATTTGTTATTCTCAAAATGTTTCTACACACGGTAGATTTATCGACAGTTTTTTTTCAACCCACTATAACAGCCTTTAAAGAACGTTTCTATGGGAAACTCTCAGGCGAAAACAAATTTAACCACCAAACATAGAGTCCAACTTTATTATAATAATTATATTTTTTGCTTGACGTGTTAGAATGGAAATAGATATTAATTCTTCGTGCATTATTGTATATTCTAACACGACCCGCATTTTTCCCTATTGAACATAGAAGAACAGAAAGTGTGTGTTATTATGCAACAGATGCACAGCTTGACGTTCTATATTTAGACATGTGACGTAATCATTATACTCGTGACGTAACCACTAAAAATCCGACGCGCGGAAAATAAGTACGGAAACAAATCAGGCGCAATTTTGCTTATCTATCAAGTACGGCAACATTTATTTGTTGATGTCGTGTTAGAATCGAAATAATATATCCAAATCGGTGATTTTATCGCTTGATAACATCACTGTTTGTCGTTCGGATGCGCATCATTATATCATAATTCCTCGCATCCGAACTCAAAACAGTGATGTTATTGAGCGATAAAATCACTGTTTGGGATATATTATTTCTTAAATAATGCACGTTTTTCGTTCAAATGCTTTGTAATTAATCACTCAGGCCTATCGGCCTTCGTGATTATATTATTACGCATTTGAACTCAAACCGTGCATTATTCTACAACAATGCACTCAGAATTGATATCTATTTCCTAAATGAACAAGTCTTCGATAAAAAGCAATAAGGATTCGCCAAAGTGAATAAATCTTTGCTAGAAAGAAAAATGTAGTGAAAATAAGTTTTTAACTTGTTTGCTAGAAAGAATATCCAGTCTGCTAAGTTTCAAAGAGCTCTTCGTTTACAATTAGATATTTCACTGAACTCAATACAAATGAACTGTCAAGTGTATTATTGAGTATTCCATTAAGGGAAATTACAATGTTGAAATCCCAGTATAGAGTATACTTAAGATATTATGTATACTCAGGTATCACAAACTTTTTGCAATAATTGTCAGATGGCAAATTATGTTTTTCAAATTCTCGTAATTACAAATATCTATTATTTCCATTAAATTAATATTACCGTGTAAGTACGAAACCAAATACAGCAATCATTTTTTAAATTTTTTGCTTTTCAAATTCATCGCAAAGCAAACTAATATTAGAAAATATCATAGTATCCTATATTGTAACATGTAGTGTTGTATATGGTTTGAGCAAAAGCGTGATTCCTTTCATAATTGGAATGGCTTTTTGTTAAAAGCAGTATTGGTAATTTATTCAACATGGAATTTATATATGTTTTCATCAGCATATTGCTGTTCCTTTTCCAATCTTGTGCAACAAAAATTGGAATAATTGTTAATGTAAATCCAAGAAGTTGGCAATATTTATTCAAGTAAGCAAGTGCTATCAATATTGCCATAGATCAACTTCAATACGACAGAGTAATTGCAAAAGACCACAGAATAAGGTATTTATTTATTTGTTGTTGGGCTAACATGATTTTAATATGGCTGCTTGAATATACATAGATAATCTACTTGCGTATTAAAACGGCTTATAAATCAATTGATTATATTATTATATTCCATTCAGTATTTTTCTGGTGTTTGCGTACACTTTATCATACTATATCATTAGGACATTATGTCCGCGATGCCAATTACCTTCTTTTACGTTACAATTTGTATCATCGTTAGTAGTATAACATAAAGCAGAGTGCTAATGTACTCATTTCACCTTATTGTTATATGAACTTATTGTCATGCGTTTTAAGAGTTACCATATTTAACGCTTGATATACTTAATATCTTTTATAGACAATATAGACAAAACCATTCATCATTTTTGTGGGGAAAATTATATATTATTGTACTGACTTACAAGAGACCAGTGCAGACCATGGACAAAAAGGTGATCTTGGTCTGTACTGGTCCCATGGATATAATCATATGATACAAGCTGCACAAGGATTAAGAAAAATCTTGAAACAATGTTAAACTAAAGCGCAATAAAATCATGATATAATGTGATTGTCTCACAGAAAAAAAGAAGTATCAACTGCTCCTTTTTTGCTTAAAGTATGGTTTTATGGTCAAACAGTAAAATCAAAGACGGAACATTCATTCAATGGCTTATTAAAATAGTTTTTATACATACAAGTTGTTAAATATGCCATGTTACTACATTGAATAAAGTGTATAAAAAATATATAAAAGCACCAATGCAACTTGTGCCTACTTGCTATGAAGTCATTGTGATTATTTTTTTTGCAGTTTCATTATTTTGGTATTGTCTATGAGACTGATTCCTCCTTGAATTTCTGCTTATTATTGAAACCAACCGTGTTGTGTTTAGTGCACCCATGTTTTCCTTTAAAAGTTTCACGTTCGTAAAACTTTTCAGCGTCGTTGCCTTATACAATAACATTGTCTTCGAACAAAACAGGCTCAAATCTAACGTGCACGCAATTTTGAATTGATTTATTTTTATTTTTATCTAACATGTTTTTGTAACGGGTGAAAGGGTGTGTAATTTAATTAATTTTACTTGTAATACTTTCTGAAGTTTCGTTAAAGTCAATTTGTAATAATTATGTAAAATTTTTAACGCGAAATGTCTTTTATGTAGGCAGCCGGCTACTGTGTCAACCAGCTCACGTGTTTTTATCATTTCGTTAAAACTGTACACACCTAGAGTATTTTTTTGTATTAACATTATTAAACATAGTGGTCAAAATTTCAAAAGATATTTAAAAGTTTTTAAAGTCTAAGTATAATATATAATTTTCTATGGTTTATGAAATTAGGGTTTTACTTGAGACATTTGCCAAACAAGAGGTAAATACATGTCAGGGGTCGCAAGGTGTTAATCAACCCGCTAAATGAATAATGGCCCCCGGGGAATATTATTCGTCATAGCTGAGGTTATACATGCAGACAGATCTATAGAGTATTGATTGAGTATTGATTGCAATGCATGTTGTAGAAAATCCTAATTATATATCATACAAAACTTCTTTGATGCTCAGACATACAATTAACTTGCTTTTCTCCCTATATATCCAAAAATTAAACGAAAGGTCAACAACAAAGAGCGACAAAAACAAAGGCAACACATGGTCATTGGATTGCAGGGTAACGATCAAAACAGAGGATATGTGTGCGGGGCTAGGACGGGGAGTAACAATGACATGTATAGCAATGTTTGGAGCAAAAATAAACCATACAAACACTATGATTTACAAGTGATTTTCATACACGCAACAAATCCTTAGTATACTTAAAGAAATCTTTGGCAAATACGTTCATCATTCATTTCAGATTTTGTTCTTTGGTGCATATGTTCATATCTGACAGTTATGAAATAAATTTGATTCATTTGTACACTATATATCACTAATTGGCACCAAGGTCATATCTTGATTCAGAATGAACTTAATGGAATTAACTTAATTTTTCATTGTTTTGATTGAGGCAAGCAGTTTTGTAATTGAAATTTCAATAAACCGTCCTTAAAAATAACAGGAAAAATTGAGTGCATTGTCTTATATGTGATTAAATTTAATTATGATAGTATCATAACTCATATTATGCACCTGTAACCAATCGGGCTTTCTCTGACCATGTGACCATATTTTCGTCTGCTAATTAAAAATGTCAACGTTTTGTACACACAGATTGGTACCTCAAAATTTCAATACTAATAATAATAATAATAATAATAAAGACTTTATTTAACGAGAGAACTCATTTGAACAAACATATCAATCTTCCATGAGGCCCTCAACTGATATCTTCTTTTTCAGATAAATATTGATGTCGTTTAAAAATTATTGATCATAAATTTATTTGAAAATATAAAAAA